ACTGGAAAATATCTCTATGTAGGTACCTTTGATGATCAGGGAATTTTGAGCCTGCTGGGAAATTATTAGCTCAGAACAGGAGGCCTGGTTGTTGATTAAACAGAGCTGCCACCGGTTAGTGTTAGGGGACAGAAGTGAAGCAACAACCAGTGAATAGAGAATGTGCTGGGAGGCCCTGTTAACTCCACAGGTAGGTAAGCATGCTCAGTACACAGAGGACTTTAGAAGATAAACGGCACCTTTTTTTTCTGGAGATTTAAAAAATAATGACATTCCATTGTTGCAGGGAGACTGCAATTTATTTGCTATTCAGAGGCAAACAAGATGGAGAGATTTTTGTTCAACCATCCTAGTGATGAACCCTACAACAAGGTATTCCCTTATTACATTTTTTTTGTGTTAGTGTCTTTTATTGGTTTAATGAAATTCCACGTTTCCTTCAACTTACAGCTCTTCCCGGACACTTTAGAGCATAATTATTGGATATCTTAACATCCTCTGGTCACTTTGGCAGGGTCATTTTTATTAAGATCTTTGTTATCTCCCAACTCCTAGGTCTGTGATCTCCTGATCCTCAAACCCATAAATCAACCAAAAGTCTTTACAACCCACTGTGAGCACTATTTTAACTCACAGACTCTCAGATGAGAAGAGAGCTTATATGTAACTTGGGCCACCTTATTTCTTGGCACGTGTCCCCTCCATAACGTGTGCCAAGTGGCAGTCTAGTTTGTCTATCCCACATCTGATGTGGAACTTACTGTTTCCTGAGGCATTCATCCCATATCCGGGCATTCGGATATTCTTTAGGTACAACTCAATCTCATCTCTTCCAATTGTGGTAACTAGTGAATGCAATTTCTGATGCCATCCTTTGTGGTTTGGCTGAAGAATCACATAAATACTTCTATTGGCATTGTTACCAAGGTCTACCAAAGTGGCCAAGTGTGTCTGCTTGTTTAAGCAAGGAGAGGAATTCATGCTAAAGTTCATTTGTAAAGCAAGAGAGTTTGGCATTACTCAGAGTGACTGACACAAAGGATCTTGTGGTCTGGATGGAAGGTGAGGACAGAGGAGCTTCTGTGTCCGGGTGGTTTTGAGGTTTTATATATAAAGGCAAGATAACACTTCCTGTGTCAAGGCCCCTTTTCTAACAATACTCAAGTCTTAGAAAGGATACCTTCATTCAAAACAGAAATTGTGTCTTCTCAGAGTGAGGATTTTGTGCTTTGTTTTTCATACCTTTGACTCCAGCCAAGCCACCCAGAAACCTGTGTATAAATACATAAAGCACTAAGTTAAGAGAAATGATAGCTTAGCACAGTCTTCGGTGTCAGAGGGCTGAACTTAGTAGAACTTAAACCTTCAGAGACAGTTGTCTGCTTCCTGCATCTTGAAACAATGAGTGGAGACAGGACTCAGCCTCCACTTCTGAGATATGCCTCCTTTACATCAGGGGGCTTTTCCTTCTCATCATGTGAAGGTGTTCGTAAACAGTGAAGAGACCAAAAGGGTGTCAGGCAAGTGAATGAGGCCTGCGAGGGTGGCTAAAGCCTTGCTACCTGGAAAACTGCAACTCAGCAGTCCTTTGGATTTGGTTTTGTTATGTTTGTTTCTTGCTTTCTCAAACTCGTAAGTTGTCATTTTGTTCACGGGCCACACACTCTCTCAGAATAGTGTCTCTGGGGTTCCTCAAGCCGATTTCATATAATTAGTCATTAACCAAAGCAGAGCCATTTGGGTGATTCCTTTATCGTGAGACTGAAAGACTGTCACCCAAACCTGTTTGAACAGGAGCTATACTTTCTTGGCAAAAGTGAGCTAAAAAGCAGTGATTGTCGTCAAGCAGCGAAGGGAAGATGAGAGATAAGCAACTTCCGGAGATAGGCTATGAGCACATCTGGCACAAGGGAAATGGAGAAATACTTAAGGGATTAGGTCAGTGATTTTCAACCTGTGTGCCGCAAGAAATTTCTAAAATGTGCAATACTCAACTCTTTAGTCAGAGACACTGACCTCTATTCCCTTTGTCAAATTAAAAAATGACAACAGCCAACACAACAATAGCTGTCTGGTGTGAATGTTGTGTCTTGAACCATAAATAAATAGGTCATATAATAGAATTGCATCTTGTTGGTTATGTTGCATAATAAGTTTGCATCTGATTGGTTAATTCTTGGTACCAGAAATCTACACTAATAAAAGAGAAAAATGGTAATTGGCGTACAGCGCTACCCTTTTCATTGGCTAATCAGGGCTATATGCAAATTAACTGCCAACTAAGATTGGCAGTTAACTGCCAACAAGATGGCGGTTAATTTGCATATGTAGGCACAATGCAGGGAGGCGAAAGGGAAAGCAGGAAGAAGCCCCCTGCCACTGACAGTGATCAGAAACCCAGGGGGGAGCTAAGAGGTGGGGGGCAGGGCAAAGGCAGCCCTGGGGCCGCCTTTGCCCTGCCCCCCAGCCATGATCGGAGAATCAGGCTTTGCCGCCCTGGCCAGTGATAGCAGGAAGTAGGGGTGGAGCCAGCGATGGGAGCTGGGCACGGTCGAAGCTGGCAGTCCCAGGAGCTAGGGGTCTCTTGCCTGGGCCTAAAGCGGAGCCCACGATTGCGGGGCTGCTGCAGCTGCGGGTCCCCGCTGCCCGGGCCGGACGCCTCAGCCAGAGGTGTCCTTCAGGGGCAGGGGCGGAGCCTCCATGATCGCGGCGCCCCCCGCTGCCACTGCAGGTCCCCGCTGCCTGGGCCGGATGCCTGGGCCAGAGGCATCAGGCCTGGGTGGGGGACGGAGCCAGGGATTGGGGGGATATGATGGTCCCCTTGCCCAGGCCTGAAGCCTGGGTCAGAGGCGTCAGGCTTGGGCGGGGGGTGGAGCAAGCGATCAGAGGGAGATGGGGGTCCCCTGCCCAGGCATGATTCCTGGGCCAGAGGCCTCAGGCCTGGGCGGGGGTCAGAGCCAGTGATCGGGGGGAGATGGGAGTCCCCTATCCAAGCCTGACACCTCTGGCGGAGGCCTCAGGCCTGGGCAAGGGGCCGATCAGGCGATCGGAGGGTGATGGGGGTCTACGCCTCTGGCCGAGGCATCAGGCCTGGGCAAGGGGCAGAGCCAGCAATCGGAAGGGTCTGGGGGTCTCCTCCTGCCCAGGCCTGATGCCTGGGCCAGAGGCATCAGGCCTGGGCTGGGGGCAGAACCAGTGATGGGGGGAAATGAGGGTCCCCTGCCCAGGCCTGATGCCTCTGTTAGAGGGCAAGGGGCCAATCCTGCGATTGGAGGGTGATGGGGGTCAACGCCTGAGGGCTCCCAGTATGTGAGAGGGGGCAGGCTGGGCTGAGGGACACTGCCCCCCCCCCACACACCCAGTGCACGAATTTCGTGCACCGGGCCCCTAGTCTTTATATACAAGTATAGACACCTGATTTTTTAAAAAGTCATTTTGGAGCAAAAAGAGTAAATAATCAGTATTATTATCCTATATAATAAAAGGCTAATATGCAAATTGTCCCCTCGACCTAGAGTTCAACCAGGGGGTGGGGCTGGCTGGTGGCCTCTCCCCCTGCCAGCCCTGCCCTCAATCGGCCCACCACATGCCCATGGACCCTCCCCAAAGCTGGCCTGGCCCAACTGTCCCCGATTGGGGCGGGCCGGCCGGACCCCATCCGTACACGAATTAGATAATAAAATCTCTAGTTATTTTTATAAATCAAAATCGTATCTATTTTTTCAGATCGTCAAAAATATATTTTTGGTGTGCTTCAGAATTTTAATAATTAGTTTATGTGTGCTGTGAGATGAAAAAAGTTAAAAATTGTTGCTTTAGGTCATTAGGATTGTGGACCTAAGGGAATTAATGGAGCCTGGACTAGAACTGTCCTGTCTATCTGAATATATGTAATATTCCTGCACTCTTTCCTATAAAAGGAAAGGGACACCAACCATGACTTCTCAAAAAACTATTATCTTAAAGAACCAGAGTTCTGGGGTACCTGGCAATACAGATTTAGACTTTGCAGGCCATTTAAGCCAGAAACAGGGGTGTTTAAAACCAGTGGGCTGCTTCCCATTCTGCAGTCAGTTTGGAGTGATCCTAGGGTCCTGCATATGGGACTGTGGGCCCCTAATTAACTGAAGTTCCCACTGTACCTGATGTTGGGGGGAGGGGGCTGATGCCAGCAGTTCTCCTGCACCAAGCCTCACACGGAGGCTGTTAACCAGCAGGGAACGGCTTTTTTAGATTTCAGTTCCTTGTTATTCCTCCTGCTCAGAAACAGTGAAAGACCTTTAGATGAGGAGTGTGCGGAGGAGCAAGACATGGGAAAGGAGGGAGGTCATTTTTTTTCATGACAGGAGAATGTGCCTAATGTGCCTTAGACAACTGAATGTTGTCTGCACTTCAGTTTAGATTCTTGGGTAGTTCAGTCTCTTCTTCTTTGATCTAGAAGAATAAGGCTTAAGATTATCCAAACCTGAAATCATGGCCCCAGGAAGTCCTTGTCTTAGGATATGGCTTCAGTAAATATCTCTTCCCTTTAAACTTGCTTTGCTGTTTGTGAGGCAAGGATGAAGCTTCCAGTCAAAACAGATGCCCTCTTTCTCAATGACGAAGTAAAATAAAACTTCAGGACAAAGCTCTTAGCAGCACATGAAATCAGATGTCCTGTTGTATTGTTTAATGGTCTAACCCACACCAGGACACCTGGGTCAATGTGTACAATACCTTACTTTACACTGGACTTCAGCATTATTCCTCATAAGACCAAACACCCCACACAGATCCAGGAAGAAGCTCTTTCTGCATCATCTACATGAATGGCCTTTGGAATAATTGAGCAGAAAAAGCATAGTAATGTGAAATATTTATAAATTACTGAGTCAGTTCTAGCCAACATCTTGGAACGTTTTGTTTTCCCTGGTCCCAGATGTTTCTCCAGGTTCCGGAGATGGAGAGGCTACTAGTAGTGTCAGAAAAGAGGGCAGCTAACCAAGACAACACCTAAGATACGAGGTTTATACTTTTCACCACTTAGAGAAAGCCCACGTCCCAAGAGAAAAGCAGCTCTGGCCAGAGCTCTCTGGAGTAATAATCCCCAGAAATGGTACCAGAGGGAGCAGCTAAAGTGCCCGAGAGTCTGGCTTCTTGAGCCATGGTCTAGTAGACGGTGTTCGAGGACTTCCTGTTCCTAAAATCATCCTTGGGATCTGTCCAGTGAGGCTTGAGGTCCTAGGCTGAAGCCTCAGATCAGCTCTGTTCCCAATGGAAACTTGCAGAAGACGGGCCTTAGTATTCCAGACAGGCATTCGCCGTCTCTACCTTGTGGCTCTTACTGACCCCAGCTCAGCACTGCACTGAGGGCCGCTGCTGCCTTTCTCACACTCACTCAAGGCAGACGCAGCCACGCGGCTCTTCGAGGCCACATCCATGATGTGCATGAAGTCAGCAGGGTGCCACATCCGCAGAATGAAATGAGGGAAGTGGGACCGAGACGCAAACTTCCTGTCCTCACTACAGAAGTGGCTTCAGCTTGAGCATCAGGGTCACAGAGCTGATTATTTATGTGGGGCAGAGCTGCCCAATGACACAGAAACTCGTCTTCTTGTAGTCATTGCTGGCGAGAGAGCATTTTATCCTGAGTCCGTGGGTTTAAACGGTGCTAGTGTTTGGCTTACGTGGTCGGTGACAGGAGACAATGACCAGAAATACCCAGCTGCTGACCAGGATGAGCAGGAATGTGTGCAGCAGAGCCTGGGCAGGAGTTCTGCTCAGGGTCAAGTAAGTAGCAGCTAGCTGGGAGCTCCATCTCTCCACAGACCAGAAAAGAAGAAAGGACTGAATCAGCGGCAAAGAGCTACAGCTGCTTGCCCCACTCAGCCCTCTGTTCCCCGTGCAGGACAGGGTGTTCTCCGACTGGGTTTCACCTGGTATATGATCGCTTCCAGCTAAAGATCTCATCCAGGCTGGAAGAGGGAGAGACCTCTCGCTTCTGCAGGGTTCCCCAGCGACGCCGGCCCCCTAGTAATGAGCCGCGGTGCTTGCTCAGCCCTTTTATCCTCTCCTCTGTTCGGAAGAAGTCAGTCAAGGCCCGGAAGTACTCCAAGATAACCTCGTGGCTCCACGCTGGCAGAGACTCCTGGCGCAGGAACCCACAGTGGCCGCCCTGGCGACTGAGCAGGAGGAAGAAGTAGGGGTTGCTGTGAAAGAGTTCAGTGGGCAGAAAGTGGTCTGGGGGCCCGCACACGGGGTCATCCGCGCTGCAGATACACAGCACAGGTACGGCTGCCTCGTCCACGTCCCGGAGGGGGTCGTTGTGGTCCCAGTAGGCGTCCCAACTGATGGGGAAACTCTTGGTGTGGCAGAAGAGGGTCTCCTCAAACTCTCGCAGGGAGCGGCTCCTGAACAGTTTGTGGGTGTCCACTGTGTCTTCCAGGGCCGTGGTGTACCTGGTAGCAAGAAGGCGAACAGAGAAGGTAGGAAAGAGAGGGAAGAATTAGAAAACATGTCAGCAAATTGGCAGCTCACAAGCCAGATTCTGACCACAGAGGCTTTCTTTGGCCATATAATGGAGGTTTTTTGTTTGTTTTTTAAAATATATGTATTTTATTGATTTTTTACAGGGAGGAAGGGAGAGGAATAGAGAGTTAGAAACATCAATGAGAGAGAAACATTGATCAGCTGCCTCCTACACACCCCCCACTGGGGATGTCCCCTCAACCAAGGTACATGCCCTTGACCGGAATCGAACCTGGGACCTTTCAGTCTGCAGGCCGGTGCTCTATCCACTGAGCCAAACCAGTCAGGGCCCATATAATGTTTTTAAAAACGTCCATTTCATTGTCATCATTTAAAATGCAGCTATCAGTCTGGCTGACGTGGCTCAGGGGTTGAGCATCGACCTATGAACCAGGAGGTCACAGTTCGATTCCCAGTGAGGGCACATGCCCAGGTTGTGGGCTGGATCCCCAGTGTGGGGCATGCAGGAGGCAGTCGATCAATGATTGTCATCATTGGTGTTTCTGTCTCTCTCTTCTTCTCCCTTCCTCTCTGAAATCAATAAAAAATATTTTTAAAAAATAAATAAAATGCAGCTATCAGGCTCCTTTAGACAAATGAGAAGATCTGGCGAGATGGGCTGGCGGTCCTGAGGGCAGCAATCAGGGTATTTCCTCCCTCCTTCCTGTGTCATGGTTCCTACCAGGTCTGTCCCTCATGGCATTACCTGCCCAGCACGGGGCAGCACTGACTTTAAGGCTGCTGAGCTACAGCAAGGACAGCTCTCCTCCTGATCAAAACTTCTGTCCCTCTGTGGGGAACTTGTTGAACCCCTCTTAGAATAGCTCACTGGCTCGGACTATCTAAACTAGCAGGTGGCACCCCCACAATTAACATTTTACTTTAGGGTGTATTAGTTTGTTTGTGTGTTTTTTTTAAAATATATTTTATTGATTTTTTACAGAGAGGAAGGGAGAGAGATAGAGAGCTAGAAACATCGATGAGAGAATCATCGATCAGCTGCCTCCCGCACATCTCCCACTGGGAATATGCCCACAACCCAGGTACATGCCCTTGACCGGAACCGAACCCGAGATCCCTCAGTCCGCAGGCCAACACTCTATCCACTGAGCCAAACCGGTTTCGGCAGTTTGTTTGTGTTTTAAAAGCGAATATGCCATCCAGATCATGACAAATGAGGGTGTGGAGGAGGTTTTCCTAGAGAGGGCTGGATGGCAGAGGACGTGGCTGATTTACAGGGTGAGTTCCCCAATGGGAGCCTGAGAGCAACTGTTCTGGGGAAGAGGGGCATCTTTGCTGTTGCCACCTCCCTGGAGAAGGGCTGGGGCCCCCGATGAGGAGGCCAGGATGGGCAGCTGAGACCTTTGGGGGGATCAATCCAGCAGTCGTCCGTTGATTTTGGATGTGTGTCTCCTGAATCATTCAAAGAGATTTGCCCTGAGTCTTTAATCCCAAACTTCCATGAGCAGGGTAGTTACTAAAGGCTCTGTTTCCTCTCCACTTCCCTCCCCTTATCCTTCAGCTGGTGCCCGGGGGGATGTGGGGATGGAAGCTGGCACCTAAGCCACAGGAGAGCACCTTGCTCCTGGATACTCTGGAAGCTCTGGCTTGTCATGGCAGCCTGTTATTGCACTCAGGATTTCATTTCAGAACAGGAGGCAAAGCGGGGCAAGAAAAGAAAGAGAAACCACAGTTGCCACCATTAATTGAGCACCTACCCAGCGCCAAGCTCACTTCCATGGCCTCGTTTCATGCATATACGGGCCTGGGGAGGTAGTTATTATCAACTCCCTTTCACTGAAGAGAGAAGCGAGGCTCCAAGGAGTTCGCTAACTTGCTGGAAATTCAGGATTTGAACCCGTGACCTGCGCCCACATCCCAGGTCTTTCTGCCACAGCACAGTTATCCACGTCTTTGACCTCCTTCTGCCTCTCCCAGGAAAGCCACAGTGCAAGCCGAGGCCTGGTTATGTGCTGTGGGAATGTCGCCTTCTCAGGGGGAAAGTCCCACGTGTATGCCTGGTGGTAGGGTAGAATGTTCTCTTTATGGAGATTTTTTAAAAATTGTGTTTAAATATTCTTTAAATTGTTGCCTTAAATATTGAGCACAAAGGAATATGCAAAATATTTGTTGGGTCTAAGGATTTTTAATGAATACCTCCACATTGTTTTATTCCTGTCCCCTCCAGGCTCAAGGGCTGTAGGGAACATTCTGGACAGACAGCCAGCTGCACTCGCTGCCAGAGCCCTTGCTGATCTGACAAGCTGCGGGCTAAGCGGTCACCTCAGGCACTGCCTGTCGGGGATGCGGCAAGTGCTCGGGTTGCTAGGACACCGTGAGGCCAGGGGCCCCGGGCGGGAGGCCCTGCCTCGTATAATGATGCTGACTGAGTCTTCTATGGATTTTAAACCCGCTCCCCTGGTTCTCTCTCGACTAGAGGGTTTGGACAGCTTCAGACAGTGTGTGAGGGGACTTGCCCAAGTCGCCGTAGACCTGTCGGAGTCAACACCAGGCAGAGCTGTGTCTCGCTCAGCCCAAGACCCTGTTACCCCTCACAGGTCTGCGGCCCCGTTACCCACCTGCTGAGGGCGATTTTCTGGTGGAGCAGGAAGCCCCGCTCGTAGGGCCAGGGCAGGCCGGCCTCGAACCACTCGCGGCAGCGCAGCACCGGCGAGATGCAGGCAGCCCCCGTCATGTAGCTGGAGGAGCCACACTCGCCCAGGTAGGACAGCAGCAGCGCCGACCCGGAGCCCTCGCTCACCGCGAACAGCGGGGCCGCGGGGTGTCGGAAGCGGATGTAAGTGACCGCCTCCTTGAGGTCGGAAGGGTCCCCGAAGGGCTGCAGCCGGGGGCTGACCAGCGGGCAGCCGTGGTGGCCGCGGCGGTGGAAGATGACAGGGTAGTAGCCGCGCTCCAGGGCGAGCATGCAGAGGCCGAGCACGTTGCGGGTGAGGCGCCCCCACGCATTGGGGATCACCAGCAGCACCGCCGGCAGGCCCCCGGCGTTGGTGACTCGACGGCCCCGGGCGCAAGGTCCCACGACCCAGTCCAGGGCCACCAGCCCGTTGTCGGCCAACTGCAGGTACTCCCGGGCCAGCTCCGGCCCCGGGCCCGCCGGCAGCACGAAGTGGCGGAGGGTCTGCAGGTGGGGCCCCGAGAGCCAGGAGCGCGGGCCCGGCTCCAGCGCCGCCGAGCGTCGCAAGGCGCGCAGCAGGCACTGCGCCAGCGCCGACGGCTTACAGATGAGCCTGCACCCGCCGGGCAGCGGCTCGCGCCCGTGGCCGAACTGGTCCGCCGGGCCTCCGCCGTCCGCCTCCTCCTCGTCGTCCGGGCCCCCGGCCCCCGGCAGGGTCCTGACTCCGACGGCGCGCCTCCCGAGGCGCCGCAGCCTGGGGGCCAGCAGGCCGAGCAGGGCGATCGCGGCCAGGAGCAGGGCGAGGGCGGCGCCCCACGGCGGCATGGCGAGGCAGGAGCGTCCCCGGCGGGTGGCGGGTGGCGGGCGGCGGCAGGCGATGGGGCTGTCCCCTCCGCCAGTTCCCCGCTCTGCCCGCGGCTCCGCCCGGCGGCGGGCGGCTGCCCAGAGCTCTCCCGCGCGGGGGGGCGCTCTCCGGATTGGCCACGGCCCCGAAGAGGCAGCCAGTTCGGGCCTGGCTCCCCTCGTCCGCCCCCCACGGCCCCCCCTCCCCCCGCCCCACGGCCCTTTGTACAGCGATTGCGACAAGCAGGAGCAGAGGGTGAAAGGAACCGAGGCCACGGAGAGGGACGGGGACGCGCCAGCGAGCCGGAAGGGAGTGGGGAGGGCAACGAGCCGAGGAATGGGGTGTTGGCGGCAGAAAAGTGGGGAGACTCCGAGACCAAGGCTTGGGGGACCGGGATGAGCATGAGTCCCTGTCCCCACTCCTCCGCCCGGCGCGGGGCGCAGCTACCGGGGAGACCCTGCGACTCTGCGCCCTCAGGGCCGCTGTTGAGAAGCAGCAAAGAGAGAAGTGAATAGACCGCCGCTCCCGGCGGGCTCCCGGGCTCCGGGCGCTGCAGCCGAAGGCACCGGCCGCGCCTCCCTCCCGGGCTCAGCCGCGCGCTCTGACCTTGGTGTTCCTCTCGGCCCCGTGGGCACCAGCAACTGCGCAATAACCCCGCCTGGCGGGGGGCCTGGCGCCGGGCCTGCGGGGACCAAGGCGCGAGGGTTTGGGCGGGAGCCTAGAGCGCCGGTGCGCTGCGCGTCCGCTGTCTGCATCGGTGCCCTGTGCCGACGCCCCCAGAGCGTGGGGCTCCCCCGAGGAGCCTGGCTTCAGGTAGATCTTTAAAACCAAGACCCAAAAGGAGACATATGTTATACTCTTTGTAATACTTTAAGCAATAAAATAATTAAAAAAAAAACAAGCCCCAGGCCCTGGCCGATTTGGCTCAGTGGGTAGAGCGTGGGCCTGCGGACTGAGGGTTCCATGTTCGATTCCCGACTTCGGGCTCGATCCCCAGTAGGGGGCGTGCAGGAGGCAGCCGATCAATGATTCTCTCATCATGTTTCTCTCTGAAATCAAAGATATATATATATTTTTAAGAAAACCCAAACCGCTCCCTAGGAAGAAGAAACCCCTCGCCTCCTAAACTGGAGAAAAGACACACTGGGGTGCGGGGTGCGGGAGATACATGTCACCCGGTGGTGGGGCATAGGTTGGAGTCCCTTCATCACCTCAATGGCCAGCAGTTACGGGGGGCGGGGAAAGAGTGAGGAACCCCTTTGTAAGTCACAGGGATGTGGGACATGACTGAAACACGTTCTTCCTCCATTTGGAAGTTTGGGGCTCGGCATCTCTACCTTCACCCTTCACTCACGTTCCCGTCTTTCCTCAAAATCCCGAGGAGAGCCCAGGAAAAGGGGACCAGAGGGGACCAGGGAGAGGGCTGCAGAAGCAGAGCCCGCTGCCGGGGGCGAGGCCTTGGGTTCCTCCGGCTCACGGGACCAGTGTCTCCCGGAGCACACGCCGGCCAACGAACGCGAGTGGAGGCGGAGGTGGGGCGCAAGCAGCTGCCGGCCGACTCCGGCCTCCCGGAGCGTCTGGGTGTGGGGACCGGGAGGTCTGCGACCCTCCAAGGCCGGGCCCGGGCCTCTGTGCGAGGGCAGGCGTGGGATGGGCTGGCGGTGAGGCTCTGGGCGGCACAGCTCTCCCTTCCTCCGCTCGGACTTGGTGGTTCTGCCCTTCTTCATTGGCGGGTCTGGAGCGAGCTTGCCGGAGGAGCGTGCCCGTCTCCCCTTCTGGGCCGCCCGGTCCACAGGGACCCCATCCCGCCCTTCGCCCGGTTCCCCGATCGCACCCCGGCGCCGGGACGAACGCGGAGCCGAGGAGGTGGTCCCCGCCTGCCTGGCAGGCGCGGCGCCCGGGCGGGATTCCCGCACAAAACTTTTCCGGCCTGGGGTTCAGGACGCGCGCGCGCACAGGCGGGGCCGGGGGCGGGCGCCGGGGCGGGGCGGAGGCGGGCTGAGAGCGGCGCGGCGCGGGCGGGGCGCGGGGCGTGTGAGCTGGGCGTCCGGATGCGCGGTCCGGGGCGGCGCGAGGGGCGTGCGAGCTGGGGTGTCCGGGCGCGCGCGGGGCGCGGGGCGGGGGCCGCGGGGGGCGGACAGGCGCGCTCGAGCTCGGGGTCTGCGGGGGCGCGCGAGGTGGGGCGGGGCGGGGCGGCGCGCGCTCCCTCCCTCCCTCCCGTGCGGGCGGCGGGCCGGATCTGGGATGGCGCCTCCTCCGCCTTCGCCCCAGCTGCTCCTCCTGGCAGCCCTGGCGGGGCTCCTGCGTCCCATGGAGGTAAGGCGACCCGCCCCTGAGAAGGCCCAGAGCTCTTCGCCGAAAGTTCGTCCAGGAAGGAGGAGCGCGCGGAGAGAGGACTAGGAGTCCTCCCCTGGCGGGCAGGGCCTGGGTTGGGAGAGGCAGGGCCCTCGTTGAGGCCAGCGCCCCAGCTCTTCTGCGCCTTGGACCCACAGGTGATGGCTGAGCCGGCCGAGGAGGCGGGAGCCCGTTGTCCGGGGCGCCTGTGGCCTCTGCCCCCACAGGTAGGAGCCTGGAGGGCGCCGGGAGGGAGGGTGTGAAGGGGTAGCCAGTCCCGCTCTGGCCCCTCTGCACTTCCAGTCAACCTCGGAAGGACCTCTGCCGGTTCCTCCATCCCTCAGTGGCCAATGTCTTCATCCCAACCTGGAGGCTTGGGGCTTATTGTCCCCTCCCCACGCCCCCACACAGGGCCTCCCAGCTGCTTTAAGCGCTCTTCTTTCCCCACATATAGGTGTCACCGAGAGTGACGTACACACGGCGGAGCCCACGGCAGGTGAGTACTGTCAGGAGCCATCCAGGTGTCTGCACTTGCTGGCGTTCTCTGCCTTTTCTGCTCATCATCTCCATTTGTTACCACTTCCCTCAGGAAGAGGCAATGTGCTTAGTCCGGACGATGAGCCCCAGGCCTCTGTCTGCAAGGAATGCTGTTGCGTGGCTGGCTGTGTGGGCAGGATGATAGTAGGAAAAACAACAGCTCGTGCTCCAGATGTGCTGTGTGACTGTGGGAAGTCCCCTGGCTTCTCTGGGCCCCGGTTTTCTCTAAGAGGATATCAGTAATGCCCCTGCCCACGAGGAGCAAATGAACTGTGTGTGGCAGCACTTTGCAAAGTACGAAGCTGTATCGTGTCAGGAGCGTGCCTCCGATTACCGGGCTCCAAACCGTGGGTTCGCCTTGCACGGCTGCCTCTGGTTTTGCCAGTGGCCAGATAGCTTCCATATCCCTTTGGATTTTGCTGTTCAGAAGCCTTTGATGGCTCCTTATTTCCCACCTTATCATGACCACACCCCCTTGCCTGGCTTTTCAGGCCCAACCTAGTTAATTAAGCCGTGTCTGACCTCTCCTAATCTGTGGCTCACCTACCCCACATGTGAGTGCCAAGCTCATTCCCATGGCTCTACCTTTGCTCCAGTGCCGTGGTCGGCAAACCGCGGCTCGCAAGCCACATGCGGCTCTTTGGCCCCTTCAGTGTGGCTCTTCCACAAAATTCCACAAAATACCACGTGCGGGCGCGCACGTACAGTGCATTCTCCTCCACTCCCTGTCCTGTCCTGACCTGAGGCTGATGCAGGAAGCTTCCTGGCCACCCACCATCCGTACGCATCCTTCTTCAAAGCCCAGTGCAGGAGTCTGCTCTCCCATGAGACCTTGCCGTTCACATCAGCCCTTGTCCATCACGTTCTCTAAATTTGCGTAATGCTTATAACTTAAATCCTTTCACTTAACAACTAGCCAGTTTGAGTTTTATTAGTTTGCTCTTTCATTTGCATTAGTTCTGTTTCCCTGAGTTTCCTTTACATTCCCTGCAAGTGGAGTCCAGGATTTCTCTTTTGGCATCTCCTACAGCATCTGGCACAGTGCTGAGCATCAGGTCAGCCAAATCAAAGAATATTAATAATTGATCAAGTGTTTCCATCCTGGGATTGTGCACCTGCTGCCCGTGTGCCCTGTACTTGGATGCCTTTGGGAGACTGACTCTATAGATAGGATCAATGAAAAGAAGAATTGGTCTCCATAGAGGGGATGCTTACAGTCTAGACTGGGGACCTGTAGAACCGTCATTGCAGGTGCAAAGAAATACAGCTAAAGAGTGTGGTCAGAGTCTGACTGGGATGCCCAGGCACGCTGTCATGGAAGCTGTGAGCTTTGAGGGGTGGCACTTGATGGAGGAGGGGTGAAAGGAATGCTCAGAGGCAAGAGGCAGTGCATGCCACTACCCAGGGTCCTTTTTCCTTTCCTGAGCCCTCCTGGTGGAAGGGCCATGTTGCCATCCTGGGAGTCCCTTTAACCTGGCCCCAGGATGGGAGCACGTGGGGCTCTCACAGAAGGCCCGGGCCTGGCTGGCTATCTCTGTGCTTTTCCTCCAGGCAGAGGATGTCAGCTTCCTCTACCATCCCTGTGCCCACCCCTGGCTGAAGCTCCAGCTGGTCCTCCTGGCCCACGTCCACGTGGCCCAGCCCTCCCTGGCCCCTGACGCCAGCCTCACTCAGGACCGGGTAGGTGGTTGGTGACAGTCAATTGTCTGACACTGGCAGCGGCTGCAGCCCCGTGTGCAGAAAAGGGACATTCGGGGGCTTCCCCTTGTTCTCTCCCCACCATGTTAGCGCTTCCAACAAGTGCCTTCTTTCATAGCCCCTGGTGCTGGAAGCGTGGGGGGTGGTGCTGGAGATGGCATGGGTGGAGCCAGCCTGGGCTGCCCACTTGCTGAAGCGAAGGCGGTGGAAGAGGCAGAGGAAGAAGGCACAGTTCCTGTCCGACAGCCTTTCTGGGCCCTCTCCCTGGGCGCAAACGCCGGGCAGAGGGAAGCTGTGCCGGAGAGGGTGTGTGCAGGTGAGGAGTGGGGCCCAGCGTGGTTGGTGGTGTGGTCATGGGGTGACCTGGAGAGAGAGAGGATGAGTGCTGTCTCTTCTCCCCTAGGCCCCAGCTTTGGCCTTTACTCTGCGGAGCTGGCGGCCCCCAGGCCCAGAGGTGGTGTCTCGAGGGCCCAGGCAGCACTCCCCTGGTGGTGCCAAGAGGCGCGGGCTTCGGGCCGCCCTTGGTCTCCAGCCTACTTCCTCAGCCCCGAGGTTCCCCTCCGCTTCCCCATGGAGCGTGGAGACCAGGAAGCCCAAGCTAGGAACCCCAGGTGAAGGGGGTGATGCTCCATTTGTGCCCACTGCCCCCCTGCTGCCTGGGGGGCCTCGAGGCAGTGCCAGCTCCAGGATAGAGGCCCAGGTGCCCAAAGGGCAGGGCAGCCCAGGTGGCTGTGCCTGTCCAAGCCAGGCTTCCCCCGCCCCTCGGGCAGCAGCGCCTCCGCGGGCAGCCCGGGGCCCCACCCCACGCACGGAGGAAGCCGCCTGGGCTGCCATGGCCCTGACCTTTCTGTTGGTGCTGCTCACCCTGGCCACACTCTGCACTCGGCTGCACCGAAACTTCCGACGCGGGGAGAGCATCTACTGGGGGCCCGTGGCGGACAGCCAGGACACTGTGGCTGGTGAGACCTTCCCTTCCTCACGCATCCCTAGCCCCGCCCCCACGGCTTCCCTGCCCCTGACTGCTTCCCACCCTGCCCATAGCTGTGCTGAAGAGGCGGCTGCTGATGCCCCCGCGCCGGGTCAGGCGCTCACGCCGGAGACCCCTCCTCCCACCCACGCAGGACAGCGGCCCAGATGGGGACAGCTCCGACTGACGTGCCCCGGCCCTGCCACTGTGGCAGGTTTTGCCCCTCCTCCCCCGGGGAGGCCCTGACCTCTGCCACGTGGACCACGCGCAGGGCCGCCCTCTGGTGGCCGGATGGAGCATTTGCAGAAGGGTTCGTTCTTAATGTGGTGTTTGTGGGGAAGGGTGGCCCAAGGAAGAAAAAGGAGCTGTTGTAGCCTCCTTTGCCAAAACTCTGTATTTTTAACTAAATTATTTTAGTAGAATCTTGCATTGAATTTGTACATCTGCCAGAGACATACTCCCACCCTGACACTGTCCTAGGCCATGTAGGTTGTGTGCGAGGCAGGGTTTGAGGAGGGAACCCTCCCACCACTGTGAGGGGGATGGTGGTGGTACTTACTGCACCTTAGTCCCGGCTCCCAAGGTGCGGAGGCGCTGTGTTCACTTGCTTCACACCTGACATTTCTCCCTTTCATGTTTGCCCCTCCCCTCAAGTCTCAGCATCAGAAACAGCACATGATCACTTATTTATTTTTGATACAAATGTACATGATACACATCTTGACAGTCAGCCCACCCACCACCATACAGGTAGAGCCTGGCCCTGGGGCAGAGGCAGGACAGGAGAGGAGCTGGTGGGCGCGGCCATCTGCCTCTCCAGCCTCCCAGGCTGCGGCCCAGGTCCAGGTCCCCAGACACCGCAGGCACAGGTGCTAGCCTCTCAGAGGTTGTAGGGAGGGGCCTCTCAGCTGAGTCGGGGACCCTGGGGAGCCAGCCCCAGGCTCAGGCGCTCAGTTCTCTGCCCCAGCCAGCACACTCCCCCTCCACAGGGAAAGGGAGGGCAGGTAGAGGGGAGTGGTTTTCATTTAAGTTGATAGAGAAAGGGGTACGAGTGGTGGGAGTGATGAGGGGAGGCAGTGGGCAGGACCCCAGTTGGTTACTCTGGCAGTCCCTGGCCCCAGGGTGGTGAGAGGGGCTGCCCCCCACACTGGTCCCCTCACCCTCACAAAACTCCGTATGGACCAGGCCTCTGGAACGGCACCGCCGCCCCACACTCACACGCAGGGACACTTAGCTACCACGACGTTAACATTAAGGGTGGAAAGAGAAAAGAAGAAAAAGATTTCCAGTGTTTGCTGCTGGGGACCCCGGGACACAGGTGGGGCCATTTGGCATTGAAGGAGAGCAGCATGGGGGCTGGTGGCTACAGGACGGGGACATCCACAGAGATTATGTACAAAGGAGGGGGTGCCCCCACTCAGCCCCCAACAGGACTGAACTGGCTCATGGGGGTGGGATGCATGTGAGGGAACCGCCCCACTTGGAGTGTCCCCTCCAGACGCCCTGCGGAGGGTGCCCTGGAGGGCAAGGGGCTGGGAGTGATGCCTTACAGGCCCCTGCAGGCTAGAAGGGGAGGGGACGCTATGTACAGGGGGAGGTGAGTGGAATGTGGGGGACAGGAGCTCCTGCCACCCCACCTCCCCATCCTTGGGGGCTGGAGGGGGGCGGGCACCAGGGTGCCTGGCTGCCAGGGGAGAGTGGCAGCACTAAGGGCACTTGGCTGGGGTGGGGATTAGTGTCTGGAGTGGCCCATCTCCCATGGCCAGTGAGGTCCCAGGGTGTAGGTGAGGGTGTAGGGAGAGTGGTCACTGCTTCTTCTCTCGGGTGGTGATGGTGACCAGCTGCTTGGCAGCCTTGGCAATGTCATAGGCGCACTGGATCACCTGCTGAGTCAGCAGCTGGAAGTCCACAGGAGCTCCGGGCTCCGGAGGCACTGTCTTCCGGCACTCGCTCTGCAGCCGGTAGGCGCTGGCGTTGAGCAGCCGCAGGGAGCTGCGCACGGGCTCCAGGGCTGGTCTCTGGAGGGAGGGAGGAGAGAGGGGCCTCAGGCTTCAAGCTGTGAATACTGGTCAGGGCCCAGGATGTCCACACCTGCCCCACCCCGAGGCCCTCCCAGTCCTGCTCCTCTCTGCCCTGTACCTTTGGGAAGAGAGAGGCCATCTCAGTCACAGCCAAATGGATCTTCTCTGAACAGGGCACAAAGCTGTGGGGGGAGGGCAGGCATTAGGGGGCTCTCAGGGAAGGGTTCCAGGGACTGGAACACTGGCCCTCTCTTGGCCTCTGCACACCCACAGGCCATAGGAGCTGGAGCCCCACCCCATACCTGTCATGCTTGAACTCCTGGGCAGCCCGCAACAATTCCTGAATGTTCTTGGTGACCTGCTCCGTCTTCAGGATGACGTCCTCTGTGCTGGGAAGCCCGGGGTCCAGGTCTCCATCCAGGCTTTCCAGCTCTGGGTGGAAGTCCTCCTCCTTGCCCAGCTCTAGAAACCTCTTCCCTTCCAGTCTGGGGCGCGGGGATAGAGAGAGACGTTCTAGCCAGGAGGCCTCTTGCCTGTGCCCTCAGCCTCTCCAGGGCCCACCCGACCTCCCTCTGCCGGGGCCTCACCCAAGCAGGGGGTCCCCACTCTGCGTGTTTTCATAGTCGCTGTCAGCACCGCTGCCGTGGCGGGAAAGTTTGCTCTGGAGGATGCAGGACAGGTCAGCAGGTGAGAGAAATTCGCAGCCCCGCCCGCCCACATCCCTGCAGCCGTCCCTTAGGCACAGGGAGGAGACGTTACCGCGTGGCGGCTTCCTTCCTGGGAGCACGACAGCAGTGGGGAGGGGGGAGTGAAGGGCACAGCTGAGGCTGAAACCCCCTTCCGGATCTAAAACCCAGGAGGGCTGGAGTCAGTCTCTCCTCCTCCCTGTGACCCACCTCCCAGCTTCCCTGCACGGAGGGTGGGAACCGTGTGTGTCTCGTCAGCCTGTGCCCAGCCTCCAGCACAAAGCCTGGCACCCACTGGGGCTCAGAACCTATTTGCAGACACGGACCCACTTGCCCCGGCCCTGCTTACCCGGTAAAGGCCGGCAGGGCCGTGCACGGAATAGATGGCGTCATCCTCCAGCTCCTGGGGGTTAGCACAGTAGGTGTCACGGGGGCCCTGTGACGGATCAGCCCTGTGTCCCCACCACCTTGAGCCGGCAACTCACAGTGCTGTGGAAAGGCTGCAGCCGGGTGGCGAGCTCGTCCCCAGGGGGGCCCCCAAAGGGCTTCAGGGCTGAGCCTGGTTCATACATGGAGAAGGCCTGGCGGTCTCTGCGGTGGGCACTCCCACAGGGCCCCATGGATGAGTGTTCTGCCCGTTCACTGGGAAGGGGGGGCGTGGGCACCGGCCCTGGCGGCTGCCGGATCTGCAAGTTCTCTGCCTGCAGCTTATGGATCTGAGAGTGGAGGGGTGTCAGAAACTCCAGAGGGTCCAGGCAGCACCCCCACTTCCCCACCGGAAGCCCCCACGCCCCTCACCTCCCTCTGCAGCCTTCGGAGCTCGTCACTCAAGCTACTGTTGACCTTCATGAGCTGCTGCACCTTGGCCTCGGAGGTAGCCAGGGCCTTCTTTAGCTCCAGGTACTCCTGCAGCGTCACGGCCCCATCAGACAGGTCTGAGGAATCCATGCTCTGCGAGGTGAGACAGAAGCCAGTCAGCCGCCAGGGACGGGGTCGGAGGGCTGCTCTCCTAGCTGTGACCAGCCTACTCGTCCCCAAGGCCCTGGGCGACAAGAGGATGGAGCTGGGCCCTGATGGAGGCCAGGGAGGGGCGGGGAGGGGCTGCGCTCAGACCCGAGCACGGTTGTTCCGCGTGGCACCGGCGCTGCGCAGAGGCTCCTGGTCGGTGTCCTCGTCCGAGGCCACGCTGTCGTAGTCGTGCTGGTCGTCGAGGTCACTCTGGCTCCGCACAGACAGCTCGAGGTTGTCTGAGGGCACAGGCCTGTCACTCAGGGCTCAGCCACACCACCCGCCTATCATGCCACCCCCGAAAGGGAGCCATGAAAGAGAATATCCTGGAGCCGTGCCCGTCCCCCACAGCTCCATCCTCGCCCTCCCCACCTGTGGGGCTGCTCAGGCTCTTGCCCTGCTGTCTCCGCTTGGCCTCGCTGAGAATGTCGATGATCAAGGTGGCAAACTCTCGGGCGTTAAAGCGGGCCAACTTCTGACGCCCCTGTGAGGCAGAAAGAGCCGGGCTGGCATGACAGGGCCGCTGCGACCTGCCATCAGCTACCCGCTTTAGCCACAGCTAAAGCATCCCGGCCGGCTCTCCTGGCCAGGGCGGGGGTGAGGGATGGCAGGTTCAGGGTGCCTAGGGGAGCTCACAGGAAGAGGCTGCAACCCACCCCCGAAGCTGCTCACCAAGTGCTCAAAAGAACAGCTTCTTCCCCACGCCCAAGTCGCAGTGCCAGCCGGGCCAAGGGAGGCCTTGGGCAGGGGTGGAGAAGAGCAGGCCCGGGCCCAGGCCCAGACAACAGCTGGTGAGGAAGGCAGGCCCACAGAGCTGGCGACCCCGGGAAGGGAAGAAGCGGCCCCAGGCCCGCACCAGGCCTCCTTACCTGGTTCCGCGTGGCTGAGTACTCAGGGTTGACAGGCAGGAAGGGCACAGCACTGCGCTCTGTCACCAGGGTGCTGTGGTTCTGGGTAGCCAGCCACACTGTGGGGGAGGAGCAGGGAGCAGATTGTCTAGGGTAGCCAGGCCCATGGGTTGGGGTCGGGGAGAGCGCTGAGCACAGCTTTCCTAGCTCCTCCCAAGGGCCACAGAGCTTGGTGACCAAAACGGGTGGTCTTCAGACAGGCACTGGGCAAGGCCAGCTGGAGACTAACACAGAACAAGACTACTCCCTCTCGCCAGGCCCAGCCGAGTTTGGGCTGGAATCTGGCTGTGGCCAGGAAGGAGTGATGGGGGGGGGGGGGGGGGGCCAGGGGGCGGAGCAGGGGTGGGGCGAGAGCCAAAGTGGGAGGCAGCTAGAGCAGGGATGAGCCCCAGGAGGGGGGGGTACGGGGGGGGGGGGCGGGGGAAGGAAGAGCAGGCTGGCTGCCTCCAGCTCAGCACACTTTTCCCAGCTGGGGAAGCTGCCCAGGCGGGCTCACAGCTGGCAGAAGCTTACACAGGCCTGCCGAGCAGACCAACTGAGGCACCCCTTCTTAGTTTCGACCAAAGTACCCGAGAGCCACACCAGGTCCTAACTTTCCCTAGTGGGTAGTTACTCTGTCCCAGCTCACCAGCGTCATTTTCTCTGCGATCCACCTCATCATACACGTCCATCGCAAGTTCCTCAAAAAGCCGGTTGCTGAGCTGGAGGCACAGAGGGGTCAAGGCTTTGTCAGATCCACTGGCCCCCGGTGCCAACAGGGCCAGCTCACCAGGTGTCATAAGATGTGGGAAACCACTTGTGTCCCTTATGCCACCCAGCCCCAGTCTCAGAACTGGAGACTCTGTCTGCCAAGCTCCAAGGTGGGGGAGAGGGCGAAAGGGAGGCCAGACTAGACCAGCTAATGCCACTGTAGGTCAGAAGTGGAGCTAGGGCCCTGGGAGCTAAGGCAGAGCCAGGGTCAAAGACAAGGGGTGGAGAAGTAGAAAAGAGGAGACGGGGAGGCTGGAGTGAGAGCAGGTCAAAGACTTGGAAAAGGACACCAGGTCAGAAGAAGGGGGAGCGATTAGAGGGGCGGGTTGGGGGGCAGTGAGGAATGGGGCAGACTCACCGCCTGTAGCTTCTTCTTGGCAGCTTTGGCCAACTCAGACAGGTCCAGGCTACGGACAAGGGGATGCCGAGAACGGGGAAGAAGGGAGAGACCAGACATGAGATGTGGCCAGACCCTTGCCAATGACCCCCCTAAACATGCAGAGATCCCAGGGAGACAAGACCCCAGATGCCACACAAGAGCCACCCTGCCCCGCCCAACCTCCAGAGCCTGCTCCCGTGGCAGACACCAGATACCTCTGAGACATGCACTTTTGCCGAGATCTAAGTCCAGAGGAAGGCAGCAGAGGGAAGAACAGGACAGAGGCAGCAATTACCCAGCAGAAGGGCAGCACACGCCTTCCCATGTCAAGCTCAGACTCATCTCTGTGCACACGCCAGGCTCAGAATGTACAAAACTGACCTCATTCCCCCCCACCCCCCCATCTGCTCCTGACTGGCTGGCTCGCTCCTACTCGGTGACCCACTCACCCTCACCGTCAGCTCCTGGGAGCCACCTGAAACCTCCCTCAGCCGCAAGCCTTTGCCCGACTTTTCCCAGGTTCTGCCATTCATTTCCTCCTGCCTGGGCTTTTGCTACAGTTTATTAGTCCATCTTCCCCCTCCCAGTCTTGCCCTTACAAAACTCTTTTCTCCCTAGCACCCAGGGTGATCTTTGTGACGCCCCTGGCGGCACTATTCCTGGCCGTATAAACATCTCAGTAATAACTGGTATAGATGGCATACTTCAACAAAAAGCTCATTTAAAAAATATGCTAAATGCTCTGCATGCATTATCTTATTTAATCCTCTCAACAGCCCACAAAGACAGGTACAGGGGCCCTCATTTCCAGATAAGATAACGAAGGCTCTGAGAGGTTAAGCAGCCTGCCTGAAGTCACACAGCCAGGGAAGCAGCAGAGCTGGCTCCACACACCCCCATGCGGGAGCCTCTCTGCTCTCGGGAGGGTCACAGCTTTTCTCAGGACTCACAGGACTGGCCACTCGTCTCTCTTCCAGTCTTGCTCCTGGGATTCCCGGCCTCTCACATATGCTGTAGTCTCACCATCTGCTTGCAGTTCCTGGCATAGCCTTCCTCTCTCTCTCTTGCTGTACATCCCACACTGAACTACAACTGTCTGACTAGGCTGCCTCCTTTTCTCTACTGCGAGCTCCTTAAAGGCAGGGATGATGTCTGAGCCACCTCTGTGTCTCAGTGCCAAGAACAGCAGCTGGCACTGCGAAGGTGCTCAGTTAACATTTCATTGAGTTTGTGCCCATATGTGTTTACAACACCCCCCTGCCACGCAGGCACACACACCAGGCAGAATCAGACCAAAGAAGTAGGGGGAGTCTCGGGATTTCAGAACAGAGGAGTCTGCGTTCAGGAATCCACGGTGCCAGATCTGACAATCCCCATCTGCCCACACCGCCCTTGGCTTTCCAGATCCAAGCCAGCAGGCACAGCTGGGCATAAAGACGGCCATTGGAGGCAGCCACCAGGTGGCGCCAGCATCCATCTTGTAAGCTGGGTAAGGAGTTGGAGGTGGTACCTCCCAGCCTGGGCACCTGGGGCTTCTCAGATCAGAGGCAGAAACACCTGGATTGTGCCATGCCCTGCCCTCCAGCCCCTGCCCAATTTATGAACACACCTCACAGAGCTGGCCAGTTACTCAGATCCCTGGAGCCCACCACCTTTTCACTGAAGAGCAGAGGTTTATCTAAGATTTCAGTGGGGCCAGTGTCACTGGGAATAGAACCCGGTGACCCACTGCTCTTGGGGTGCTCCTTGTACTCAAGCACTCTGTTTTTGACAGAAGGGGGCTCAAGTTATGCTGGCTATGTGCTAAGTTGACACTTATCTGCCCTGGGGCCCAGAATTAGGAAGTAAGGACTAGACAGCCGTGGGCAAACTACGGCCCACAGGCCGAATCCGGCCCGTTTGAAATGAATAAAACTAAAAAAAAAAAAAAAAAGACCATACCCTTTTATGTAATGATGTTTACTTTGAATTTATATTAGTTCATACAAACACTCCATCCATGCTTTTGTTCCGGCCCTCCGGTCCAGTTTAAGAACCCATTGTGGCCCTCGAGTCAAAAAGTTTGCCCACCCCTGGACTAGACTATGAAATGTTTGTGCTTTCAGCCCCTAGAGGAGTTCGGTGGGGAATGTGGAGGGGTTCCAGGCCCCTAAAGCCTGGGGCACTGGAGGGGTGGGGGCTCTGGGGGCCAGACACCAACATAGCCTCTAACAGCCTCTGGGACAGGAGCACTCACCTATCGGCCATCTGTGGGATGATATAATGCCCATTCTTGTGATCTGAACAAAAATAAAAATGCGAAGTCACTGATGCTGAGTGGCCTTAGCAGCTGGAAGCCCACCTCACTGCCATGAGCAGGGACAGGCACCCAGAAGTGTCAGGGGAAAGCCAGGAGGGCAGGCCACCGCCAGCAGCCTGGGAGCTGGCTAGAAGTTATGCCCACCCCCAGTGTGCTGAAGCCCAGAGCCTGCAGCAATTTCACAGGAGCCAGTTGCTTAGCAACGCTGTTCCCCAGCCGGCTTTGTCACCATGGCACCTGCTGCTGAGGTGTGTCTGGGTCCCACCTGCCTGGCTCAGCCAGGCCTGCCCCGCACTCTGCTCACCAGGCTTTCGTCCACAGAGATAGAAGGCCAACCGGTCAGTGAGCTCATACTGGCACTCGACTAGCCTTTCTGCCAGCTCATGGTGCCCCGCCTGCCTGTGGGGAGGGGGCATGGCTCAGCCTGCAGCAGCAGCTCTCTCCCCCCACCCCCAAGCCCCACCCTTCAGCCAACCCTCACCTGGCATAGTCAATGGGTGTTCGGCCATTAACGTCAGGAGAGCCAGGATCAGCCCCATACACTACAAGAAGCTCGGCCTGCAGCGTCTGCCCGGCCTTGGCAGCCACGTGCAGAGGCGTGGTGCCCTTCTCTGGGTGGAAGAAGTTGGCCTGGGCACCCAGGGACAGCAGGCGTAGACATGTCTCCAAGTTGCCTGTCCGCACGCTTGAATGCAGTTGCTGCAAGGAGTGGAAGCGTGCAACAAATGTGTGAGCCCCTCCTCCAAGCTGCACCTGGGACTCCTACAGCTCCAAGGGCCCAGCTGAAGTTCGGTTGTCTGGGAGGACAGAGGGCTTCCCACTAGGAGTTAACACCAATTAATAGTAGCTGTTGTCAGTCACTATCTACCACAGTGGTTCTCAACCTTGGCTGCACATTAGAATCACCTGGGAATCTTTTTAAAATCCTGATTTCTGGGCCTCATCCTCCGGAAATTCTGTTTCTTTGTTATGGGGTGGGGCCACAACATTAGTAACAAAGAAACAGAATTTCCGGAGGATGAGGCCCAGAAATCAGGATTTTAAAAAGATTCCCAGGTGATTCTAATGTGCAGCCAAGGTTGAGAACCACTGATCTACCACATGCTGTGTGCTCTGCTTGGAACAGACATTATATATGAGATGATGCTGTTCTTTTCCATTTTATAGATGAGAAAACTGAGACTTTGAGGCTAAGGAACTACCCCAAGTTTTCCTGGCTTTTGGGGGGCAGTTGGGGAATTTTAGCCTGTGTGTCCACCTGGGAGTTGAGTGCTTTGACCACATGCAGCCTAACCAACCAAGTTCGTTGCTCCACATGCCCGCTGTTCTTGCCTGACCTCGCTTCCCTTGGGGCCTAGGGCTGAGAGGTGACCAAGGAGAAGCCTTCAGGGCGTTATGGGTGAGGAAAGGCCTGCCCGTCCATCGTGGGGCCCCTCAAACCTTGCTGAGGTCTTTGGCGGTGACCCCATCGTCATCCCGGCAGGGAAGCTTGTGCACAAATGCCAGCATCTGGTACTTGGCCCTGATGAACTCTGACTTGATGGGGCTGCACGGGGCACAGAGGAGGAAATGGGAAGCAGAGCGAGAGAGGCTAGTTACCAGGCCACCTCCCAGGCCCATGTCCCAGACCACACAGCCCCTGCCACCACCCCTCCAACCCGACTCACTGGACTTTGTCTTGGGGGTTGGCTTTGCGCCGGCCGCTCTGCACTTGTGCGGGGTCCAGCAGGGAATGCTCCCAGATGGAGTTGGCCCCGTTGCTGGCGAGTGTGTGCACCATCTGCGGGGAGGAGATGCCAAGTGAGAGCCCACTGAGTGCTGGGCACCAGGTACCGGCCCAGCCAGTGTGGCTGCAAAAGTACCAAAGGGCCTACTGGGTGCCTGTTCACTGCTGCACCTCCATCCTGTCAGGCCACCCAAGGTTGTGGGTCCTATTTAGAACGCCAGGTCACATGACCGGCATGCCAAGACTGAGAGAGGTTAAGCGACCTGCTCAGTGCGACATGGCCAAGCCAGTAAGTGGCCGAGCAGAGCTGAGAGCCCGTCTGTCTGACTCCAGTCCTGGATGCCCCCTCTCTCAGATGAGTGGATGGGTTTGGGTTGGGGTAGGGTCGTCCCCAGGCAGGTGTGTATGTTAGCCTGAGGGAAATGTGCCTGCGATGAGCACACACTGTGGGGAAGGAGGAATGGCGGGCCAGCACCCGTACCTGCAGGAGCGTGGGAGGCCAGGCGCTGTGGCGAAGGTGCTTGACAATGGAAATGTGGCGTCCCAGGCTCCGGTGCACACTGCAGCACTCGTCACACACCAGCACACCCCTGCTGATGGAGGCCCAGCCAGGGTCTGCGGGGTGGAAGCCAGGTCAGCCATAGCCAGATGCAGGCAAGACCCCCTGAGCACTGCTCTGGGCCAGCACTGCTTAGGTCCGCACACATTCACTCACTTGGTCCCTCCGAGCTAGGAAACTGGGACATCAGCAGGCACAGGCGACTGATGAGGAAGCTGAGCTAAGGCAGTGAGGGATTTCCACACAGGCTCGCAGCTGGCGACTGACACAGCCAAGCCCTTTCCTACACATAGTTGGCCTCTGGGAAGGTGTGGTCCCCAGGGCCTACTCAGCGGGCATGGTTTCCTGTCCTGCAGTCACCACTATCATTCCCACAGCCTTCCCCAGGGAACAAGACTGCTACCCTAGCCCTTCCCCAGGGAAGCAGGGATCCCCTAGGGGACGGAACCCCGATGTTTCCACACCACTCATCCCTAGGCACTCCTCCTGTGTCTGGGTCAGTGCCACATCTCTCCTGCACCCAGACTTCTGTTGGAGCTAATGGCCCACCTGCCGGACCCATTGCAACCCCCAGGGACACCCGACTCTGCCCTTATCCTGCCCAGGCAGAGGCCTTTGCATGCCTGAGCCTCCTGTCACCATCACTGATGGAATTCCTCTTAAGGGGGATGGGGAGAGCAGAGGAACCGACGCTGACTGAGCACCCACTATGTGCCACTGGATGCTGTACGTATGATGCCTCTCACAACTGTCAGGCCAGGTAGGAAAGGCTACCACTGAGGAAATAGCATCTCAAGAAAGGTTAGCGCACTTGCACAAGGTCACACAGCCAGTGAGTGGGAGTGCTGGGATACGGACCCAGGCACTTAGATGCCAGAGACGGTGCCATGTCCAGACCGCTGCTGTCCCTGTGCCTCTGTCCTTCAGGGGACAGCCCCCAGGGGACAAGGGGGCTCTGGGAACCTCTCTCCACTCCTTGAGAAGTGAACTTTGGAAACAAGAAGGGGGCCAGGACAGGGTGGGAGCTCCTGGGGTCCTTCTCAAGGGCAGGGGCGATGCCACCCATCCCAGGCCCCTTGGGAGAGGGGGAGGAGACAGCTGCATGCAGCTCAGGCTGTGGAAAGGTCACGGGGGAGAAAGCAGCCATTGTGTGCCACTGGAGAGTGGGGGCAGGGAGCCTTCTCCCAGGACACTGTGCTCTGCCCAGACCCCGCCTGTCTCAGGAAGCCCTGTCCCAGGAGGGGAGGCTGGCGCTCTGCCGGGGCTCAGGAGTAACGGGCTCAGGAGTAACGAGAGCCTCTCCAACCAGAAGCTGATTCTCAGACCCTTCCCCCGAAAGGACTTCATCAAAGTCCCCGCGAGAATCCTGAGGAGACTGAGTCAGGGTGCAGCATGAGCTCTGCTCACTGCAAGTAGCCCCTCATAGCATGGGGACAGGAAGTGACAGAGGGACTCAGCTTTTTGAGTCAGGGATCCCCCACCTCCCCAAAACAAGGCAACAGGAAAACACAAGGCGCTCACTATACACCTTCTTGGGAGCTCATTCCAGGGGCCCAAGAGGAAGGAGCCCAGACAGGCGGCCCTAAGGCACACTTGAGTGTTGGCTTCACCCAAGGAGTGAGACACTCCAGGCGTGAAAAGCTCCCTCCCCCACTCCCCAACACCACTGGGCCAGGGGGCTGCCTCCAGCCATCACCGGCAGCCCAGGCAGGAAGCTGGAAATGACGCAGCCTAAATTCCTCTTGTTGAAATGGTGGGGTTTCCTGTAAGTGGGGAGCCGCCCAGGCCAGGATCACAAATGGACTGCCCTACCAGAGAAGCCCAGCCTAGGAGGACTGGCCAGAACAGACATGGCAAGTCCCTGAATATGGCAGCAACCAACACACTAGGACAGTGATGGCGAACCTATGACACGCGTGTCAGAGGTGACACGTGAACTCATTTTTTTGGTTGATTTTTCTTTGTTAAATGGCATTTAAATATATAAAATGAATATAAAAAATTTAAATATATAAAATAAATATCAAAAATATAAGTCTTTGGCCGAAACCGGTTTGGCTCAGTGGATAGAGCGTCGGCCTGCGGACTGAAGGGTCCCAGGTTCGATTCTGGTCAGGGGCATGTGCCTGGGTTGCGGGCACATCCCCAGTGGGGGATGTGCAGGAGGCAGCTGATCGATGTTTCTCTCTCTCATCGATGTTTCTAATTCTCTGTCTCTCTCCCTTCCTCTCTGTAAAAAATCAATAAAAAAATATTAAAAAAATATACATATAAGTCTTTGTTTTACTATGGTTGCAAATACCAAAAAATTTCTATATGTGACACGGCACCAGAGTTAAGTTAGGGTTTTTCAAAATGCTGACACGCCGAGCTCAAAAGGTTGGCCATCACTGCACTAGGATCTGGGGAATGTGGTCCAAGACTGCCTGCCACTCTCCTAGGCTGGGAGGGGTCCCCCCTCCTCACACGTCCACAGTGACCTGAAACAGGAAGGGCGGGCAGGGGACACGGTCCTGGTGTGGGGCACACTGGTGCCAGTTCAGTTCTGACTGACAGATGAGAAAGCCCACTCCCTGCTCCTTATGCCCAGGGGACACAGGACATACCCAAGCCTCACTGAGGCCAGTTGCTAAGCAGAAGGGCCAGGAAGGGTTCCTGAAAGTCAGTGCCTATTGAAGTTTAAAGTTAAAGGGACTCTTGTCCCAAAGAGAATCTCTGGACCAAAATTGGGGCAGAAGAGAGGCAGGGAATGTAAGGGCCAGGGGATGTGGTGACCAACCTGGTCTCTGCCAATCCTCCTCCCGGACTCCTGCCTCCCGTCAGGGTGGGGGTCTGATAAATGTGGGCCAGTGGCAGGAGGGGTCCTGAGGGAATATTATCCAGTGCCAACCCCATGGAGGTTTCTCCCAGATAAATTCAGGCCAACTCTTAAAGCCTAGTGGCCTCTGGGGCCGGCAGGTCTGCTATAAGGTAGCCTCTCCTGAGCTAGGGACCAGATCCTCACTGGAAAGAGAGAGAAGCCCACCACACTGAAAGCAGGCAAGAGTAATCTACAGAAACGGAGGTCAGAACGGCAGTTACCTCTGGGGGACACTGACTGGGCGGAGGCACAAGAAAACCCCGCAGAGTGATGGAAATGCTCTACCTCTGGGCTGGAGTGATGGCTGCAGCTATACACACACGTACAAACACATCAGGCTAAACAGAAAGGTGCGGGCAGTTTGCCATTCATGTTATATCTCAATAAAAGAGGAAGAAAGCCCACCATTCACCCCATCCCACAATCTATATATATAAAAGCCTAAGCGACCGAACCGAATGATCGAATGACCAGTCGCTATGATGCACACCAAACACCAGGGGGCAGACGCTCAACACAGGAGCTGCCCCCTGGTGTACAGTGCACTTCCATAGCCAACCTCCAACAGCCCCTCCCTCTGGCTGGCCAACCTCCCGTGCCCTGATCGGCCAGATCGCTGGCCAGGCCGAGGAACCCCACCTGTGCACGAATTCGTGCACTGGGCCTCTAGTAATCTATACTATGAAGAGACACATGAGCCTGCAGGTTCCCAAATGTCCCCAGCTGTTCCCAAATGGCCTCGCTCATCCAAGGTGCCTGTAGGTCTCCGCTCCTGTGCCGGAGGCTGCGATGGAGGCCCATAGGGTGAGGAACAAGCCCTTGAGAGCTGGGCCAGGACTGAGTGGCAGGGGGAGGATGGGGAAACACACATTCTGCAGGTTCCCTGACCCCAGCCCCTCTCCTGGGCTCCCAAGGCAGGCAGGGGCACAGAGGGTGCCTGACCAGCAGCCATAGCAGCCAGGCCATGCCCAGCTGCCTCACAACACACTCACACTTATCCCCTGCGTGCCCAGGCCTGGGAGCAGAGGGAGGACAGGGGCCTTTGGGGTCAGGCTGCATCTCACCTTTGACCTCCATAACCACCCCCCAAATTAACCAACTACAAGAAGCCACGACCCCATTCCTAGGGCTGGGACTGCAGGGCTCCTGTCGCAGCGAGGGAAGCCTATGACTCTGGGCAGGAGGCACACACCAGGGTGGCTCTGGGTCTGAGCTCCAGACCGCTGCCTACTCTCAAGCCTTTTACTGGGGCTGAGAGTAGTTCCCACACTGAGAATGCCATTCCACGCATCACACAGCGGGGGCTGGAGCAGACCCAAGTAGCCAGCAGGGGTCCTGACAAGCATCCAAACACGCGGGGCGTGCCTGCTCTGTGCCAGACACCTTGCGAGGTGCTGGGTGGGGTGATAAGACTTTGTCATCACCGGCCCACCTCATCACCCTCACCTTCTCACCATTTGCCTCTTCCTGACCTAATCGAGGGAAAATGAGGTCCCTGGGGCACAAATGTCCCTGTGGATCACGGACCAGGGGTAAGAGTACAAACACAGCGGAGACACACCGTTCCTCCCCAGAGCCCATCCAGAGACTGCAGCCAAACAGGCAGATGAAATGGAAAAAAGACAACTGCCTTGCTGATGCTGCTCTATATCCCTCAAACCCAGAATCAGGACCACAGATGTGGAGACGGGACACTCCTCAAAAATCATTTCTACTCCACCTTCTTTGGCTTACAGTTGAGGAAACTGGGGACAGAGTGAGGGAGGTCTTGCCATGGGGTCACGGAGTCAGCTACAAACAAAGGTAACCCTAAAACCCAGGCTCCCCGGAAAGGGTGTCTGCTGTGCATGCTACTTCCACCCAGCAGCGCGGCACAACCGCCTGGGACAGACACACAGAAGAGAAGGCAAGCTCTCCTCTTCGCCCTTCTATCCCTAGGGCTGGGGCAAGGGGATCCCCGTTTCCCGTGTATGGATGGTGGCATGCCCTGAGGGAGGCCTCAGGGTCATAACCAACCACAGAGTACCACGCCTCTGCCAGCGCCCACAGTTCCCAAACACTCCAGGCTGGAGCCGTCGGAGCCACCAGAGCATCTGTGAGGCTCAACCTGTTGGGGTCCTGGGCTGTCCAAAGAATGTCTGGACGTCATGGGCCCACAAAACAGCACCCCACACTCTCACACCTAGTCTGTCCACAGCCCCCCTACAGTCCACAGACCCCGAGGCTGCCCAGGGAGACCGTTCCTTTTCTAAAGAGAAGATGGACAAGGCCAGGGCTCCCCGCCCCACACCTGCCCAGCCCCATCACTGGCAGTGTCCTCCCACATCAGAAGGGAGCGGCCTGGTGGGTCACTGCACCTCACTTCCTCAGCAGGTCGGGGGGTTCACATCAGCCTGGAGCTGGGAAGAAGGGAAACACCACAGTACACACAGCCAAGAGGCAGTCCGGGAGCCAGCGGGCTCCTGGGGAACCTAGAACCCCGGACCACGACTCCCTACCCACCTCTGGTCAGACGGGGTTAGGGGGCCAGGCTAGGGGGGGAATCTGCCCAAACTGGGGCGACGCCAAGCTCCCTTTCCCCAGCAGGCCTGCCCGCGGCACAGGGGACGCCGAGTCCAGCTGGTCCCAGTCACCAGGTGGCCCGGGGGCTGCCTCCGAGGAGGATGCTCGGGCTCACACGGGCCCGCACGCCAGGCCCTGCAAGGCGCCCCAGCCTGGGGAGCCAGGGGCCGGGAGTCCTGGGAGCCGCCACCCCTCCTCTGCTCCCGAGGAAACAGGATCCAAGCGCCCCCCTCCCCCGGCCCATCTGCCCGGCTCTGCCCCTTGCCCTCCGCCACCCCAGCAGGCCGGCCGGCCATGCGAGCAGCAGGTGCAAGACGCGGGGGTGGCACGGCGACGGCACAAAACCGCGTTCGCCCCCACCCCCAAACCTGGCCGGCCGCCGCCACGGCCCTCGGCCACCCGAGGCTGGCGCTTCCGTTCGGATGTGGAGATGGGGGCGGGGGGCACTCGCTGCCCGCCTCCCTCCGGCTGAGGGGTGGGAGGCGGCGCCGACAATGTCCTTCCTCGCTCGCCCGCGGACGCGAGGGAACGGGGGCCCCCCGGCCGGCCCTCCTCCGGCCAAGGACGAGGCTCCGCAGTGGCCCGGGCGGGGGCCGAGGCCGGAGGGAGGCCGCAGCCCCCAGCCCCACCCCGCCCTCCGGCCCCGCGCGACGCTCCCGCCAGGCCCCGGCGCCCGCCCGGCGGCCTGGGCGCGCGGTCCCGCCCCCGCCCGGCCAGCTTACCCGGGGCGCTGCAGTCCGCACACACCTCCGCTCGCGGCCCCTTCCGGGACATCCTCCGCGGCGACGCGGCCGCAGCCCGCTGGGCCAGCGTGGGGGGCGCGGGCGGCGGCCCCGGGCGGCGGCGGCGGCGGCGGCCCTGCTGCCCGGCCCGGCTCCGGCAAGGCCCCGGCTAGGCTCCGCGCGCCCGGCCCACCGACCGCCCCGGGGCTGGCCCGGAACCCGCCGTGCCCGCCTGCCCGCTCGCCCTCGGGCGCCCTCCGCCCCGCGCCGCCCCGCCGCCGCTCGCCGCTCGCTCTCTCCGCCCCTTGCGCGGCTCCCGGCCGCTCCTGCAGGAAGCGGCGCAGGCCCGGCCCACCGGGGGAGGGGCCGCCGACCCGCCCGCTGGCCGCGCCTCCCGCAGAAAGGAAGCCGCGAGCGCGGGCGGGGAGGGGCGGGGGCGCTTAAAGGGGCCGCAGACGCCGCCGGGCCGGAGCCGCGATCTCGCCGGCGGCCAAGGCCCCTCCTCGGGCGTGTGCCTGGCCCGGAGGCGGTGTGAGTCAGCCCATCCCCTTCGCTGGCGAGATGGGGGTTGGCCCCGAGTTCGGGCCCCAGGACAGTGGCCCCTGGGAATCAGAGACACGAGTCAGGAGCTGGAGGCCTAGGCTCGCCTTCCTGTCGCAGCGGTTCTCAACCTGTGGGTCGCGACCCCTTTGGCGGTCGAACGACCCTTTCACAGGGGCCGCCTAAGACCATCCTGAATCTCAGATATTTACATTA